CAGGGAACAGCCTTCATTTGCATTCATACCCACTCCACAGACCACAGTGGGATTACCATATCCTTACTGTCCCCAGTACTGTGGCCTGCTCAGCCTTCTCTCAACTCTGTCACATTTCTTAGCACAATTCAGATCTTTTCCGTGTGTTCTCTTATCTCTCTATTATTCATATTACAACAATTCAAAATTGTGTAATGATTTAACTTTCTTTTTCCTCATTTCTGGACCTACAGTATTTTTTTTATTTTTTTTTACAGGGGAGGACATTTACATTGCAAAACATGTTTTGGCCATACTCCTTCCGTGCTGTGGACACTCTTAGCATGCTAATACGCCAAGCCCGTTTGTTTCCCCACGACCACTTCAATGGACAGAATCTCCTCCTCCGCGTCGTTCTTACTTATATGGGGGATTGACATCAATGTATTCATCCAAGAAGATGCAGGACTGGAAAAATAGCTCTCACTCATGCAACCTTTTTTACGTCCTGTTACGCTCTTGTGTAGTAATGCCACTATGTTTCACCATTGAGTACTAAGGTGTTGCGTCCCTGTACGCGGTTGTATTTGTTTCTCTCTCTTCCTGTCTCTCTCTCCCCTTCACTTTCTCTGTACAGATTCCCCGTTTGTCATTGGTACATCTTTCCGCCATTCTTCATTAGCGATGCCGTCACCACCTTACCCCCGGCCAATCAGAACCACGACTACAAGTTTAAAAACAGAAGACGTTTTGACCCCCCCACCCCCAGCTTTTTGCGTGTTTCTCTGGGTTATTGCTAATTAGCGCTGTTACCTTGCTAGTTTTTGTTTTTGTATGTCAAAATACAAAAAACAGGTATGGGATACCTGTTTTCCCCTTCACTGTAAATATTAGTCGCTTGTCATTTTGGTGCTAGTGTGACCATCCCGGTTCTGCGCGGGCTCATGGCCTCACCACTCCACCCTGCCGATTCGTCCCCCAACACCTGGGCGTGAACCCGGGTCTCCGGCGTAACGCAACAGGGCACCAGCCGAGTGAGCTAAAGGAGACCTCCCCCAGCCCAGGCGGCTGAGGTCCCTGCTACACGCAGGGAGGGCGTCGACGTCACCGTGCCCAAACTAGCGCCGCTACACTAGTAAGTATTTGTTGTTGATTGTGACTCTGAGTGTCCTGGGGGAAAAGTGAACAGGTAAGAACGTCATGTGACATACACTTTGCGCACACGTAGGTTTGGTTGCGACTGTCTAGACACACTAGGTTTGGGGCGAGTGCCACCCTTATATTTAGGTTTTGCTAGTTAGTGTAGGTCAGTTAGGGCGTCCTTTTGTTTGGATTAGATAGGTTAGACTGCACTATATTAGCTAGATAATAATAAATAATTATCGTAAAGTCTCATATTCCATGGATTCGCTTGTATATAGTAAATCACGCTTGCACCTGATTTTCGTTGTTTTTGTTGTTATTCCAAAACCCTCCAGTGTCCCAGATAGTTTTAATGTTACACCCCCCCCCAGCTCCCTAGTCAACCTGGGGTTGTAACATATGTTTGCTGGTTCTCAAAAAGGCAAGACTGCATTTTCACAGGTAACTGAGACTACAGGTCTATGAGAATGAACATGAAGGCGGAGACTGGCGCAGTACCTTTGC